AAAGGTTGCAGTGAGCCAAGACAGTGCCACTGCACTCTAGCATGGGCAACAGAGCCAGAAAAAAAAAAAAAAAAGAATACATTCTAGGGCCCCCTTACAGGTGAATTAAATCCACATTTCTAGAGAATCCAAGAAGTCTCAAAAACTCTTAAATCAGATTTTGAACAAAAACTACAGTGTAGCCCTGTAATTTTGAGAATACATGCCAAGGATTCTGACAACACTGAAATACACAAGAGAATTAATGCATTGTGATTTTCACAGAAAGGGCTAAATGGAAATGAATGTACAATTACATGAGAAAAGGAAATGTCACTTTCTAATACTTTAAGTATAATCAGCTGTTACAGAAAAGGTGAAAGAATACAGGAGGTATAAATAAAATAGCTTATCATAGTATTTCCCATGGGAAGTTTGATTGTAAGAGATCTATTCTGTGAAAGAAGACTACCATGATATTGTTAAAGACTTGGAATTTGCATCAAGGCTAAATATATTCACATCCCAGCTCTGCCATGTGCTAGCTAAGTAACTTAACCTTTTTGGACCTCCTTTTCCTTGTCTAGAAAGCATAGATAATAATAGACCAACTCAACTCAGGGGTATTGTGTGAAGTAGAAGAGTTAATATAGGTATAGCATTTAGAATGATGCCTGGGACACAGTAAATACTCAATAAACATTCTCCTTCCTCCTCTTCTTCTGCCACTCCTTTCTTTCTCTCTCCTCTCCCTTCTCTTCTTCCTCCTCTTCTGTTTTACACATAAAGAAGAGATAGATAAACTATTTGATTATAATTACACATTATTCTAAACAATATTATAAACATATAACTAGCAATATTTCAGTTGGGGATAAAATGATGTCTTTACATAAGATCTTCTTATTCTTTTTTTAAATTTAATTTTTGGCGTTTTTTTTTTATGGACAGGGTCTTGCTATGTTACCCAGTTTGGCCTTGAACTCCTGGGTTTAAGCAATCCTCCTGCCTCAGCCTTTGGAGTAGCTGGGATTACAGGCCTATGCCACCACACCTGGCTCTACATTGGATAATCTGCATTTTTAGAACAAGCCATTTCAATGGTCAATCAAAGATTTATCTTACTAAAGAGACCTAAATTTATTAGCTATCATTCTCTTTGTTTCAATCTTTTCATGTTCCTTTTTCCAAATTATTTAGAGAGCTTAGACTTTCCACTCAACTTTGAAGACTAATAAAACTTCTCCAATCAAATAACTATTCTGAAACTTCAAGAGGCTCTAACTGGACCTAATTTAAATGTATCAGGAAACTCACTGCACAAGTGAAGATTCATCAAGAGTGACTTAGCAGATTGTAACTCAGTCTGGGTCCTCTCAATGAGAAACCCTGTTGCGTGACTTAGGTGTCCAGCTGCTCAGAAGTATTTTATGCTTTCATATCAAAGATGAAAGAAAAATCTCCCTGAAACTGAATGTATAATCATGTCAGCAGTGGATTTCGCTAAGAAAATCCACCACTTTAACCCATGGAAATGACCCAGAAACACTCAGAAAGAATGTAATACAGTAACCGAAAAAGACAATGTAGGGTAAGTCAGTCACTTGTTTCTAGCTATTTATTGACTACTTAGAAAAATGACAACTTTTTTCCAGAAAAGTACAAACACCTAAATAAAATTGCTTTTAAGAACAGCCAATTAGTCATCAAAAAAGTAACTATGTGAGATGACAGACCTGTCAATCTGCTTTGTTATTGTAACCATGATATTTTCTATATGTAGTTCCATAAATTCATGTTGTAAACATCAAATATACATAATAAAATTTATTTTAAAAAACAGCTGTCCAATTGAACCTATAAATTAAATCAAGAAATCAAATGTGCTAAAATTCTTTGCAACAATACAGAGAAATTTACAAAATTAATTAGCTTACATGTTTTTAAAAATCAACCTCAGTAAATGTTAGAAAATATTAAATTAGGCATACTTATTCGTTATTACCTCAATCTTGCAAAAATGTTTATTAAACTGTAGTAAAAGGACAATTCTGAATTGTTTTCAACATGCTTAATTAACTCATGGAGTTAGATTTACACTGGCAATCCTTCCTGCATCTCCACATTCCATAAAATAAAAAACAACAGCACACTAACTTAGTAAGGATGCAGTAAAAAGCAATGTATGACTTCCTCTTAAGTACTCTTTGGAGGAAACATTTATCTTAATAGTTGTCAGGTTGGTCTGTTCTAATTGCACTTGAATGTTTTTTAGGAAAAGTTTATTTATTAACAACCAGAGACATAAAAATAATTTGAAGTCTTATTGCGATATTTTGGAATTCTCATGAATGCTTGCTGCATATCAATTATGTCAATATCTGAGAATCCAACGGTTGACTCTCTAGTATACCAAAAATCCTACAGTTAACTCATAGGATTTGCTTAACAATTTCTTAGCATCATAAGGCCCAGATTTAAGAAAATCTTCAAAGTTTTATGATTCTTTGATGGCTCAAACAAAACTAAATATTTTCATTGGGATAATTGGTAATATTCTAGAAAACTATTTATCAAAGTATGTTCCAAAAAGCATTAAGACTATGACATGCTACTCACAAAAAAAGTATTGGACGGGTGCAGTTGCTCACACCTGTAACACCAGCACTTTGGGAGGCTGAGGCAGGCGGATCACCTGAGGTCAGGAGTTTGAGACCAGCCTGGCCAACATGGTGAAACCCGTTTCTACTAAAAATACAAAAATTAGCTGGGCATGGTGGTGGGTGCCTGTAATCCCAGCTACTCAGGAGGCTGAGGCAGGAGAATCGCTTAAACCCCAGAGGTGGAGGTTGCATTGAGTTGAGATTGTTCCACTGCATTCCAGCCTGGGTAACAAAGAGTGAAACTCTGTCTCAAAAAAAAAAAAAAATGTTAAGAGCAGTGGAGAAATGCCAGTATTCTTTATAATCATCATCTTGAAGATTATTCAGGATGCATGTTCTCTGAAAACAGAGATTTGTCTAAGCCTTGTTCACTCCTGTAGCCCCAAGTCAGCAACAATGCTTGGCAATAAGCAAGCATTGAACAGAAATCAATGAATGAACGAATGATCAGTTCTCCAGCAAGGAAATTTCTTTTTTCTTTCACCCTGAGTCTCTCATATCTATTTGATCACAAGAATTCTTTGTTTTTTGCTGTTAGCAGCATAGAATATTTTAGGTAAACAAAATAAAGAAAGAAGGAAAGAAAGGAAGGAGAGAGAAAGCATAGAGAAAAATCTAACAAAAGTACATATAATGACAACCCATATTGAGATATAAAGTAAAAGCAAAGTCTCTTGGGGACTCCTCCCCAGTTCCATTCACTTCATACCCCATCTCGTCCCTCAAAATGAGGTAACCCCAACACTAGGGCTTATGTCCACATGCTACTAACATCCTCCTCTGGGAAATTCTGAATTGAAGGATTGCTAAAGTCCCTTTAAGCCCTAAGATTTTAATTTATTTCTAGCTAATATATATTTTGCACATGGTCATTTGTAAATCTATCCACTTACTAAATTAATACAATGATGAATAAGAAACGAATGAAACAAAACACCACAAAACAGATGCAAGACAATGAGAAATTGATATAATAATGGTATTTATGAACAGACTAACTGCTCTCTTGTTCAGATGGATTGATGTAAACTCTAAAGACATACATAGATATACACAATGTTCTGAAAAGGCATAGAAGTATTAGCTACTTAACCTAAACTGAGGGATTTAGAAACTATTCTCTACTATTATAGAGAAAAACAAGCCTAACAATGTATATATTGGATTTTGACTTACTCAAGAAATTACCTAGGGTTTTAAAGACAAACCATGCTTAGATCAATGTCAAAACATGCTCCCATTTACATAACAGATGCTGCCAAGAAGAGGACATCCTTTTCCTGAGCTAAGTAAACAATTACTAATGAAGATCTCTTCTATTAAGACCCAGTATACATGGACCAACACAGTTTAAAAGGAACAAGTTCTGGGCTGGGCATGGTGGCTCATGCCTATAATCCCAGCACTTTGGGAGGCCGAGGCAGGTGGATCACGAGGTCAAGAGATTGAGACCATCCTGGTCAACATGGTGAAACCTCGTCTCTACTAAAAATAC